TCATGATCTTGTTAATATTTCTGGGTATTTTGTTTTGCGATGTTAGTTGGATAAATTACTACTGTTATTAAATATTTAATTATGCTATAATCTAAATTTAAATTTAGGTTCACTTAAAATTAAAAATTAGAAATTCTAACTTCAATTTAAACTATGGCCATCATAGAATGCTGATAGTTATAAATGTGTTAAGTGTCAAGTGGGATAACTCTTTGTATTTTGCCTAGATAAGCCATTTAAAAAAACAATAGTTAAGTAGTGATAAAATAATAATAATAGTTAAGTAGTGATAAAATAATAATAATAATAAAAGAATAGGTACACAGTGATAAAATAATAATGATATTAATAATATTAATAATATAATAATAATAATAAATAATAGTAATATTAATAATAGATAATAATAATATTAATGATAAGTAATAATAATAATGATAATATGATAACATTAGTAATATAATAATAATATTAACAATATTATTATTAATATTAATAATATAGTAATAATAGTAACATTAATATTAGTATGTGTGGCGTCTGAATGTGAGAAAACTATATTAATCTGGGTCAATGTGCTTGAGTAGGTATTTATTTCTATGTATGAATGAGATCATTAACTCACTTCTTTTGTTTAACAAATTAGGGTTATCTATCTGTTTTAGAATCACTAATTTTTCTGAATGACATAAATGATATTATCCCCTTTTCCACTGAAAGGTTTGACTTTTGCTACTTAATCCCAGGTAATGGGTGGATTTTTATTACTGCTTTTTATTTTCCAGAAAAATTTAGAGGGGGCAGTGCTGTTACTATATTTAATATTGCCTAATGTCATTTGGTGATGATAGAAAAGTCATTTCCAATGGTTTTCAGTTGAACCAAACAAAACAGAATTTGACCTCACCATCATGTTTGATGCTTGCTCTATAAATTATACCTTTAGTCATGCATTTGCTGTTCAGTGGGAAGATCTTATTTTTTCGACAGTTGCATTCATTAATTGTGGAGTTGCATTTATCTTGTAGGTTGGTTCAGTGCTTGTTTAGCATAACATTGTTGTGCTGTGATATATATTGGTCAATGATTTTAGTGTTGTGATATATATTGGTCAATGATTTTAGTGTTGTGATATATATTGGTCAATGATTTTAGTGTTGTGATATATATTGGTCAATGATTTTAGTGTTGTGATATATATTGGTCAATGATTTTAGTGCAACTGTAGCTAACTTTAACATTGTTTTTATTGAAAATCTTTTTTAGCATTGGGGAATGGCTAAAATACTTATGGATTAAATTCATGAAAAATCTTCTGATGTTAGTTTTGACATTGCTGCTAAAGAGTGGGTTAAACCATATGATATTGAGTTTACAGTGTTTTGATTTGTTAATATTGTTTTTGCTTATGTCTAAGTACTCTAGGTGTGCTTTATGGTTACTTTCTTCTAGGGTTTCTACATATTTGTTTTTAGACTTGTCAAAAATTTCCTTATTACTAGAACTGGTGGACAGCCTAAATTAGACCGATTTATATAAATTGTTTAGAATTCTAGGGTGGTGGTTAGATTGTTTGTTGCCATATTTATGGTTGTATAAATCTTTAGTATGTGGTTTATAAAGTCCATTAGACAGGCCCAAAGTTACATCCAGGAAGTTGATCACTTTAGCATTAGTGGTGTTGTTGGTGATTCTCAGACCATGTTCTTTAAAGAATTTAATCAGGCTTTTTCTTAATCAGTCTGTTTTTGTGCACCTGCTTTATTCAGAAGCACAGAACTGTCATCTCTATAGAGTCCAGTGTCTTTTATATCAGGCTTTTTCTTATATAAAAAAACAAAGAGTGCTCAATATAAGAAATGTAGCATTTGTAGATATAAACTGTATGTACATAGGAATCGACACTGCATGGTGGCTGTAAGTTTCATGCCTAAATATGGTTAGAGACATAAAACTGACAGTCACCATACAGTGTTGATTTGTATGTTCACACAGTTTATATGTTTGTATTGTATATATATATATATATATATATATATATATTATACTACTAGTAATACTTGGTTGGAAAAAACCTCGATAGCACAACTTGTAAGTATATCAAACAAATTGGTACCTGAGGAAAAAATTTGAAAAAAAAGAAAGAACTAGAAACATCCAACCAGGGAAAAATAAATTGTCCAGTGCCTTAAGTTTTTAGTCCAAAGAAAAAAAAAAACAATCAAGTAATAAAGCTAAAATGTAGAGTGCTCAATAAGCTAAGTAGAGCAGGAATAAATGAAATAAATCCTAAAGAGCCAGTAACAACCTACCTAGGTTTCACCTAAATGGATCTTCAGGGTAAGCTGGCTAAAGAGGAAATGATATGAAACAGTATTTTTTGATAAAACCACTAAAAACTAATTAGCATAGAACCTCATGACAGAAGAAGATAGAGAGAGAATATATATATATATATATATATATATATATATATATATATATATATAATTTGATAAAATATAGTTTTAAGGTATGCTATGTTTGGGTAAAAGTACTCAGTATCAGAGATAGAGTGTATGTAAATATGATGGTCTGAAGTTTGCATTCAAGTATCAGACTGTTGCTACTCAGTCTTGACCTCAGTATCCACTTATATATTGATGACTGGAGCCAGGTTTCTGCTTGGATTAAAGTAACTGTCTTCTGTCATTTGGGCATTTCAATCACTGATACTAACAGGTGTATATTCCTCCTGTAGTAGAAATTCTTACTCCATTAGATGATTGGATGCTATTCATGGCTAAATAGTTGCATCTATCCTGATTATAAATTCAATTTTTTTCTCTCTCCTATTTAACCCAAAACTAGAGTCAAATGGATTCCTATCTTTTTAAAAGGGCATTAGTACAAAGTGAATAAGAGATACTTGCAAAGAGATGATTATTTTACTTTTTATCATATGATATTATTATTTACTCAGTGAAGTTGTATTTTAGCACAACGTCATAAGCATGGCACACCCAGTGGGTATTGAACTCACTACAAAGTTGTAATGGTGAATTAGACTTGATCACTCACCATTACTTTATGGTCATGTATCCATATCTTATGATTCTCGTTTGGATCCAGACCCGCAATCCTGAAATTTTGGATTCCCAAGTTTTCATTACTGCAATCATTTTCAGCGATTTTTTTTACATGATTATTTGCAACAAATTTTTTTGTACAATAACACTTTTTATAACTTGGAAATAAATTTGAGAATAACTGAAATTAATTGTGAAATCTAGCAAAAGTCACCCATGAAATAAAAATAATTGTTTGTATGGAAAGTAAGGACCAACATATATCAATTTTTCTTTAAATTAAGTGGCAGCAGAAGAATTATCATTAAATTTTTAAAAGGTAAGTTCAAATATTAATGCAATACTTAAATCCAGTGATCAATTTTGTGTTCTTCTGTAGTTTATTGTTGTCTATTGCATCTCCTCCTACCTATTGTGATGAAGGCTCAATCAAGAGCTCTCCACAGGAGCTACTTTAAATGCCACCCAATGGGGCTGCTTTTAAGCTAGTCTGAAATATTCTCCATATAATGTTCAGTCATAGAGTGACCATTATATAGAGAATTATGATTAATATTCATATATTATTATATTAATATGATTAATATTCATCATTGAATTAACTGAATTGACAAAGAAGGAAACTGTGTTAAAAAATAAGCATTTGTTGTATAAAATAAATGCTTTTATTCATCTTTCTTTAGTCTGCAGACTTATTGATGTACTGTCATAGTTAAAAATAGTGACACAAACTGACTTCCATAGTTTCATCATCTAATAATCAAAAATTATATTTTCATGCAATCTTATACTTTAAAACTGCATGAGTCTCTATTGTTAGGTTTGAAAATTGAAAAGAAAGGTTATACTATTGGTTTTCCTTTTACTGCAGTCTCTCTTGGATAAATGAAGAATTAGGGATCAGTGGGTGGAAAAAGTGAATTTTGGCCAATGAAAAAGAAAGAGTGATACTTTTGTTTTCCAACTCTATGCTACTGTACAGAGGTTACACCCAATTTTCTTGTGACTGGGTTTTCTTTCACACTCCCATCAAATCCTTGGTGTATTTGGGTCAGAGTTGAAGCAAACTGTAGAAGAGCACAATTAATTCCTCCTCCATTTTTATCCTTTCACTCTATATTTATATCTATTTTCTCTCTCCCCCTCTCTCTTTACTTTTCTATATATTTTTCTTGTTCTTTCTCTCATCTTTTTTATTTATTTCTCTCTTTCTATCCTCACCTTCTTTTCCTTTTTTGTTTCTATTTAGTTACAGTTGTTTCTCTTTCCATCTCTCTCTCTTTATTTCTCTCTTTCTCAGTTTCATTCTCTTTTTTTTTCTTTTGCTTTCAATTTGTCTTTGTCTTTTTTAATTTCTATTTCACTTTTTTCTTTATTAAACAAGAAGAAAAGCTCATGGCCTCACTCATTTCCAGAAATGTAACCACTTTTTTGTTGGGGTGGGGGAGATGGAGTTGACCTGAGAACTTTTCAGTACCCCATCATATAATAATGTAAGCTTAGTTTGATATAGTAAGTCACCTTGTAACGATCAAATACACTAAAGTAATAATGTTTTGTAAGACTTGCTTTCTAATCATGATGTCACAGTGTGGCAACTTACATTTCTGTCTTCTTTTATCAAGCCTAACTTTTTTTTAGCATTTTCATATCTGTTAATCTCTCTCTTGCTTTCTAAAAAAGCAAACCCCATCCCTCTTTCCTACTGTCTATTTATCTCTCCCTATTGGGTGGCTAAGATAGTTGCATATTTTTTCTGGTGAAGCCAGGATATCAAATACTGACCTTTCAAGAGAGGAAGACACTCTCAACTTGTAAAACTAGCACAACACATGATTTGTACATCTATACCACATTTGTATACACATAAAATCTATTGTACTTATGCCGCATAAATATTTGTTTCTTAAGTTCCTAGATATACCTTTCTCTCTAAGAATAAAATGATGAAAGACATGTGGAGAGAAAGAAGAGGCAAAGGCAGAATGCAGGAAAACAAAAAAGGGTATTTGAAGGAAAATAAAAAGGAAAAAAGTAAAGAAAAGGAAGAATCAGAAAAAAAAGAAAGAAAGGAAAAGATGAGAGTAGGAGAAAGATAAGGAAATCAAAGAAAAAAGTAGAAGGAAGGGAGGGAAATAAAAAAAAGAGAATGTTGAGAGAGAAGTTGGATAAAAAAGGATGAGGTAAAAGAAAAGAAAAAAAAAGAGAACTAGGTGAAAGGTAAGGATAAAGAAGTAAAAAGAGAAAATAGGGAGTAAAGAAGAGTAGAGGAAGAAACAATAATAGGCATGAATAGAAAGACTGGAAAGTACCCTGTCAATAGAGTGTAGAATATGCCATCTTCTACAAAGGGGTAAGACTCCCCACCATACACACATGCACGAAAAGGCACCACCTTTTGCTGACTCAAGAATAAACCCAACCAATATTTGCATATGGACTTAAGCATAAATCCAACCATTTGTATTTGACATTAAATAGTCCAATAAGGGTTGATATGTCATTAAATTAACTAACATAAAAATTGAAAAGATAATTTTCCATATCTGTTAAGGATTAATGATTGCTTAGTCATGAAAATAGTTCCATTTGTTGTCATTTGAGACCAGATGAAGGCCAAGATCATGGATGATAATTTAAAGAGAGACAAAGATTAGTCTTACTTTATATAACTTCTTTTCTTTTAAATTGCCCCAAGTAAGGCAATAATGCCACTAAGATACCAAGGGCTACTGGAAGTGAAAGAGAATAAGAAAACTTTAGAAGGAACCAGAAACCCAGTCTTAAACAGGAAACAAGAGATAAACCTCTACTCCTGTTCAAAATACAGAGGAGGATTGTGAACCAGTTGATAGGCAAGCTTATTTTATTCCTATCGAGGAAAAATATAAAATAAAGTAAAAAATAAATAGTAAATAAAAGTTCAGAGTTTAGGCAGAGACATTAGATGTATAGAAATGAAATAGACTTTAGGAGGAACTGAAAACCCAATTCTTGACATGAAAAAAAGGGATAAAACTCTACTCCTGTTCAAAAGACTGGAAAGGAATGTGAACCAGACAAACTTATCTACTCCTATTGAAATATAATATTTAACTGTGAATATAAATAGGATAAATAAGGGAAACTACATTGTAATTTACAGTTTTTTGTTATTTCTGTATATGTAAACATAAAAGTATTCTTTAATAAAATGAAACTGTGGGAATCACTTACATGTGCCACACCTCCGCTTTCTTTAATGTCATTGGTTAATAAATACATGATACTTATTATAGGACAATTTAACCATCGCAAGTAATTCAAATTTTTCTCTAAAATCACGGATTGGTCCATTTCCTGACCAATCGTGTATTTTATTATCTTTTCTATATTTTTGGCGCCAAGCCATCCGGAGCCTAAAACTTGTTATATAAAGACATTCGCTGTTTGCTAACAGTCAGTAGCAGTTCAATTCTTGGAAAATAAGGCACGGCACTATACTGACATTTTTAATTCTTAATTATCACTCAATTGAGTAATCATACTAATTCATATTGATATCACTCACGAACATTACATCTTTCTACACTGATAAAACACTGTGGAACTATTCTTTATTTAGCTAAGACTTCAATTGAACTTTGTAGTTAAATTACATTCAATTTTGTACTCAACATTTATTAGCTAAACTTACCCTTTTTATTATGGAAAAAGGGGAGCAACTTTCTTTATACTATTGTTGATATTTGTATATCATTATTAATACAATATTTTATTAATGTTCACTGAGCTTGGTTATTTTTTTCTCGTGTTTGTTGTGCATTATTCATGTGGGGTGTTGTTTTACAAGAACACAGCCTTCCTTCTTTATTATATTCACGGTGACCCTAGCCAACAATACTTACAGCACCACTACAAAACTATCATTATTTCATGGGTTTCCTTATTTTCAGTAACATTTACTAATCTTTTCATATTTACCTCCTTTCACTGTTAATATGAGTTTTTGTGTTTTTGTATGAAGCACACAGACATCAGAAATCTATATTAAAAAAAAAAAAAGTAGAATCCATATTATTATTATTGATTTATAAGTTTGACTGGGAATGTCTTTATTCTTCCCTATAGAGCATTTTAATTTAATTTTCCTAACAATAATTTATCTATTATAAATATTATATTAATAAAATATTGATTTAATATAATCTATTATTATAATTATGCGTGTTGTTATTGTTGTTTTAAAGGTTTCATAGATTATTATGTTTATTATAATTACTTGTTTTATTATAATTGTTACAGATGCTACTGTTTTTTATGGACTTTTTATAATAAGAAATATCACTATCATTCTTGTTGACCCCTCGCCTTGGGCTAGTAGATGACAATTTAACTAGGCACTACATTAGTATATTTGTTGAAAACTGTAAAAACCATATGGCCTATATTAGTGATGTTGTATTAAACATCATATCTTTTACTCTTGAAACTAAAATTAATGTATGTTTGTAAAAATATTTAGACCAATATAACACACATTGGAGATGTGATATTCTAGGATAGACAGGTTCATGATTATTTTTTGATCAATAAATAATGATAATAACGATGATGACTTTAGTGTAGATACTATTGCCATTACCAGAAAGCCTCTTTCTCAGAATGCAAAGATCTATAGAAGTATCATAAAAACCCATAAAAACCCATGTAATTTATGTATATTTTTTTTTTAAATTCTCGTTGAAAAAAGACATACAAAACGTAAACATTCGTACTGGAAGTTGACCCATTTAATGTCAGAATAAGTTTATACACAAAAAAAAGGCGTTAAATGTAATGGAGTTGATTTTTATTTATGCTGGATAATATAATGTGATACTTACCTGTTACACAAAAATTATTTTCATTTAATGAAAATTTAATAGACGTCTATTCTACATCAATAGCTTCATATCTTGCACCTCTCACTTGTGGAACTCCCTTCCCTATTCCAGTTTCCCTGAGAGCTATAATCGCCAACTATTCAAATGTAATGTCAATTGACATCTCCAGTTGCCTTGATCTATCCACTATCCTTCTCCTCTATCACTCCTATCTGATCTTGCTCCAAATCTTATGTAACCCCTTGCGTCCTAGTGGCTTCCCGTCTTGCTTGGGGAGAAACGCTTAAAAAAAAAAAAAAAATTAAAAAAATGTAAGTGAAATTATGCTAAATACAACTAAATTAAAAACCTCTTCCCCTTGGCCATATTAACAATTCTGAAATTTTGTGGTACAAATTTTACATTAGATGATTTTTAACAGATTTTATCCAGAAAATCACCTGCGTAAATTACACAGGTTCACAAATTACATGGGTTTTAACAGTAAATTATTATTGTCTCTCCTGGTTTGTTGAATAGAATATTTATACCCTTTAATTTTGGTAATGTTATTGTCTCCTATAATGATTCATCTATAGGTGCTGAGATGTCAGCAATGGTTCTGTTGATTTATAGCTGAAAAAGAGGAAGAGGAGCTTCATTTATTTAGAATGTGTCTATCTTTCTGTTCATTCTCATTCTTATATGCTGATTGGTTTCTAAATGCTCATTTTCTTATCATCTATTACCATAAACAGAATTTTACAACTGTTGTGGGTAAACCTAAAGTAATGTTATAAATTAAACAAAGACACATGATAATGATTCATCTATAGGTGCTGTCTGCAACTCCTAGTAGTAAAAGAAAGCAATTTGGTTCTGTTGAGATATAGTAAATAAGACCAAACCATTTAGTGTGGGCTATAAAAACAATTTATAACAAACAAATAAGAAGAAAGTGAATGTTGATTTGGGGTTAGAGAGACAAACGCCAAATTTAAAAAGGTTTAGGTTGGTAAAAAGGTGTGCCTGAGTAGTCAATAACTAGCTCTAAGAACTTCTGTTCATCTGTCTTCCCCATGTCAACTGACATGCCACTATTTAAAGTCTTTGTTCACAGAAAAAAAAAGAAAAGATTCTGTTCCTTTTAATTTTTTATGTTCCCATTATCATCTATTGGTTCCATGTTAACTTATATAATGTCTTTTTGGGTCAAAAAAAAAAACAAAACCCATTCTAAAAATACTACTTTTGTCTATGTTTGGATACAAAACCTTTATTCATGAGATCCATGATAAGAGAAGTTTTGCTTAAGGTAACTTCAGGCCTTAAATTGGTTCTTTGTATCAGATGGTCAAACAAAAGACACAATGATTTGTCCAGAGTTACACAGGTTCAAATAACCAGAATGGGCGTTTTTCTTCATCTTTCAAACATTCAGGATGGCTTTCCAAAAATAAGTAAATATCTGTTTAATAAATAAGAGTATCTACTCAGATATGAGTATCCACTAAAAATAACATTGTCTTTATATATATATATATATATATATATATATATATATATATATATATGGATATTATGAATATGTCCTGAAACTGAAATGGTTTATTTAGAACTTTCAGAAATCGTTTGGATAAGTCTTGTTCTTATGTCCATTGTCTTGTCATGTTGACATAATGTTAATTATATTTTAAAATGTCCTGAAGATGGTTTATTAGACCTAAACGTTGACATATATAACAGGATTTTTGTTTATAAGGATTTTTGTTTGTTTTTTTCCGTATATATATTTTTCTTCATATATATATATATATATATATATATATATATATATATATATATATATATATATATATATATATATATAGATTCAACATACTCCTTTGTACTTGCATTTATATGTAAATTTTATTGAAATTTTTATCACCCTAAGTTTGACAAATATATTGACCAAAACATTGTGATAACAAAGATGAAGCAATGATGAAAATACTTCATTTTTGAACAATACCAGATTTAGAAGTGATAAATTATATAAAACTTGTTAAAAAATTATGCCAGAATTTTAAAAGCTCTACTAAAGATTCTGAATTTCAGAAGGTTGTTCCTTTTTTTAGCATATACCTAAATTCAGCACTGTAGTCTTTGATAATATGTACAGCATGAAAAAATTTTAAATATATCATAACTTCTTTTTAATTTCTTTCTTTTTCAGACTGTCTGGACAACTGTCACAGCCACCAACCCATTGAATTACCACCCAATAAACCTGCTGAATTTTGATTCCTTAGCAACAGCAACAGCAACTGTGCCAGATAGTAATATTACCCCAAACATGAAAGAACCACCACCTCCCAAAGTGACCCCCAAGGTAGGAGTAATCACATGTTGTCCAATTAATACCCAATTTTACCGATTAAATGCCTTAAGGACTATGTCATTGGTATTTGAAGAAGAGGTAGGTGG